TCTTTTACTTCATTTCATTTGTCAATAAAAACAATAGCTTTCAGGAATCAACTATTTTGAATTTACCCTTTTTTATACCCACACGTAAATTTAATACAACCATTTCTTTTTTAAAGAGAATTTTCCACGTGAATAAAAAAATGCCATTAAATAACAAAATTTTAAAAAAAGAAATTCCCTCACAATATTACAAAAGTGGTTTTTAATATTCAAACAAAATACTTTCCACACGATTTGTTTGATGTTAAACTTAAAATGATTGTTTAAAAAAAGAGAAAAAAGAAAAAACTTTAAACTTCGAATAAAGAATCTGCTTCTGAAGGAAAACATTTGAAAAACAATTTTTCTATACTTATTTTACTGTAAAGGAGTTTCCGAAAGAAAAGAAAAAACACATAAAAATTCTTCAAATTCTGATGGGATGAAAGACCTGAAATTGAAGATATGTTCGAGTACGATAAATAGAGGGTAAAGTTATATAGCTGAATTGGCTCAAATTGGAGCGAATTGGAGTATTTGGGGATAAGCCTTAGATATTGAGTTGCAGAGGGCGCATAACTTACAAGTGGTAGATAATGCGTGAGAAGAGGAGGAAAAAAAAATCAACCACCCTTAAACGAATATTCAAAATCTATACATATATGTTTTTTTATGAGAAAATGTAATAAATATCATAAAATATATAAACCACTCGGCACTACCTATGATAAAAAATGTATCGTAAATAAACTATTTCGTCAAGTTATTTCGAGTTATGTTCAGTTTTACATAAATATTTTTACAACTTTATTTTAGTTTCTCTTTAAATATTTTTTATTTTACGTCTAAAGAATAGAGAAGAAGACCTTTGTTTCCGTGGGGGTTTTAAATTTTATATACTGACGAACATAATTTTGTTCTCTAATTTTTATTTGTTTAAAAAAATACTTTTTTTTTTTTTAATTAGAATTAGTAAAAAGAGATTCACTAATTAGTGTAAGAAATATTTTCAATTATTTTTTGCTATAAATACCTTTTCACTCAGAAAAATTATAACAACCGAAAGGTGCTTGAAACCTGCTCATTAAGACCCATATGTGCAAGACCAAAAAAATTAAAAATTTTGAAAAAAGTGGGGGTAACGATAAAAAAAATTTTTTTAAAATTATTTTTGACATTATAATGCTTTTCTATGTATTTTTGTCCTCTGAACACGATTCCGGGTCTCAAAATTACATAGCACGTCAGGATTTTGAAAACAGTGGGGGCAAAGGCTCAAAAAAAAAAAATTTTTTGTTATTTTTGACATGGGAGTGATTTTCAATGTATTTTTGTCCTCTGAACACGATTCCGGGTCTCAAAATTGCATAGCACGTCAGGATTTTAAAAAAAGTGGGGGTAAAGGCCAAACAAATTTTTTTTTCTGTTATTTTTGACATGGGAGTGATTTTTAATGTATTTTTGTCCTCTGAACACGATTCCAGGTCTTAAAATTGCCGAGCACGTCAGGATTTTGAAAAAAATGGGGGTAAAGGTCCTAAAAACAATTTTTTTCTTTTTTTGATATGGGAGTGGTTTGCAAAGTATTTTTGTTGTCCGAACACGATTCCGGGTCCCAAAATTGCCTACAACGTCAGGATTTTGAAAAAAATGGGGGTAAAAGCCCAAAAAAAAAATTGTTTTCGTTATTTTGGACATCGGAGTGATTTTCAATGTATTTTTATCCTCTGAACACGATTCTGGGTCCTAAAATTGCCTAGCTCGTCAGGATTTTGAGAAAAGTGGGGGTAAAGGCCAAAAAAAATGTATTTTTTCCTTTTTTTGATATGGGAGTGGTTTTCAATGTATTTTTATCCGCTGATCACGATACCGGATCCCAAAATTGACTAGTACTTCAGAATTTGAAAAAAAGCATGGGGTAAAACCACTATTGTTATTTTTCCTATTGCAATAGTTTCTAATGTACATTTTTCTTCGTGAACATGATTTCGAGTTTTAAAATTGCCTACTACGTGAGGATTTTGAGAAAAATTGTCCAAAGAACAAGAACAATTAATTATCAAAAATTATTTATTTTAACAGAAGCTAAAAGTCACTTTAAGAATTAGTAATTTTTTCCACTAATTTGGATTTAGAAATAACGTTTTTACCGTTATTACCTTTTCGCCTTCTAGTGTTTCCAATCCTATTTCATCAGAGATAAGTTTTCCTACAAAACTATCTTTTTCACCTTCGCCAGAAAAACAAAATTTTCAAAAAACTCTTATAAAGTTAACTTTCTATATAGACAATCTATAAAGTTTTTGAAGTTTTTTTTGATTAACTTCCGAGAAGAAGATAAAAGCTTTTTGAGACGATTGCAATTAAATTTTAAATGTATCTAGCGATCAGAAAACAGAAACTATAAACTCTTGATGCGGTTTCTCCTTTCGCCCTTGATACCTTCACTTGAAAATCCGATTAGAAAATTCAACATTACACGAAAGTTGTGTAGTCGATGCAATAGTGCAGTTTACAACTTTGGACTCTCTCTCTCTATCTCGCTCACTCGGAAGTTTTCATTTGGAATTTATCCTTTAGGTTCCTAAATAAGCTTGTGGTTGAACATCATTCATAGTTTCACATAACAAAGTCAATTTTAAATATCTATATCTATATCAATTTCCAAAAACTTATCTAAATCCGACGTAGATTCTCTATATACAACAATGTCATTAATTTTATCGATCACCAACAACTGATGTATCTTAAAATAAACTCACTGAAGTGATTTTCAAATTCGAGATTATATCTCGATTCATATCAACATGCGGAAATCTATTTATGATTTAAATTTTTCCTTTTTAACTTTCACCCTTAATTTTTTTTTTCTCAGCCCCAATTTTTTTTTTACTTTCACCTACTTTCCTTTCTTCGACTCTCTAAATTCGCAATTAATGAAAAATCACTAATTTGATATAGTAAAAAGTTAGTCTCTGATTCAAATCAGTAGGAAAATTTAGTAATAGTAAATAGTTACTAAATAATTTAAATTCACTTTTTTTTATGTCAAAATGACTATAATTTTTGCTAATATTCAAGTAGTAACATTTTTTAATTTTCTTAATTATTTATTTACTAATAATTATTTATTTTTTACTAATTATTAATTTATTTTCTACTAATAATTAGTTCTAAGAATTAATTTTCTAATAATTAGTTATTTTCTACAAATTTAAAAATTTAAAAGATGAATTTAAAGATGAGAAGTTTTAATCTCTCACTCAGATATTAACAACCAGATTTTTAAAAGAAATTGAACTCTTAAATAAAATTACATTTATATTTAAAAAAACTAATTTATTTCGATTAACTATTTCCAGTATTATAAATATAATTTTAAAAAAACAGACGTATTTAAAATGATAATACATTCTTGCTATTTATCAATCCTATTAAAAGAGAGGTGTATAATGCAGTTTACAGAAAAGGGGCGAATAGATAAAATGATAAAGAGGAATAGTGTTTTAAGCGAAAAAGAGAAAGAGAGGTATAGTATATTGGGGGGAAGGGGGCAAATAACGGAGCAAAGCGCAGGTTCTAACTGACAGAGGCCACAGCTGGAAAACGCGGTTTTGGCTACGAAATCGGCCGCATTTCATCGCCGTTAGTTGACACGTGAGCGACTCCAATACACTTTTTTTTGATAAATAAATAATCAATTAAAAATTACCCCCCCCCCCCCCAAAAAAAAAAAAAAGTAAATTAAAAAAGACTATTTTCTTAATTCAAATAAAAGTGTATGACTAAATTTTCGAGGAAGAAATTTAAAAAATGGACAAATAGACCAAACGAAAAAAATTTAATTATTATAATTTATAAAATTATTTATAAATTGTTCTAAAAAAAAAAATCAGTGATTAAAATTCATCTGAATTCTCACATATAAAAGAAGTTTTATTTTCAATTCGTAAATTAAATTTCCAAGTGTGAACAAAATTTGAAAGGAGAATTGATATTTGAGGAACAATTTCAGTGAATAGTGGACTAATTTGCATACGAATAGAAAGAATCCAGAAAGTTTCGTGTGCACACAAGCAAAAAAAAAAAAAAGAGAATCTATCGAAAAAAAAAAAACCTATACGAATTCAATTTTTTTTTTTTATTTTGACTTGCCATTTCTTTGTACGTGATGTAAAACGATATGAGGCAGACTTACAGAAAGTTTATAAAGGACGACGAGTTTAAATATAAAGTGTTTAAAAGAAAGAGGAAAACGTGCGGAAATTGCGAGTGAAGATATATAGTGGGTGAAATTTCCGCACAACAATGTGTCTAGTATACATATACAGTGAGAAAAGAAGAGAGCTCGTTAAGAGGAGCTGAGAAAAATGTTTTACTTGTCACATTCGAAAAAACTTAACTCCTTCAAGAAATACTAATACTACACACTCCATTTGCAGTGAAAAAAATATATAATTAACTGAGAAAAACTTGTCCTTTCGACTAAAAAAAGTACTTAAAAAAATTACTCCAATTTTTCTTAATTTTCAATCACATAATTTTATGGAAAATGATAAAAAATTATAAAAATTAAAAAAAAAAATTGTTGAAATTAAAAAAAATACTTCAAACTTTTTTTTATTTTTAACTATAATATATAAAGTGTGGAAAAATTATAAAAATTCAAAAATACAAATCGTAAAAATTAAAAAAGGTAAAAATTACAAAATATAAGAATTAAAAAATATAAAAATTCAAAAATATAAGAATTAAAAAACGTAAAATATAAAAAAACGTAAAAAATAAAAAATAGATATACAAAAATTAAAAACAAGAATTGCAAAATATAAAAATTTAAATAAACAAAAAATAAAAAAAAATTGTGAACATTAAAAATAATTATAAACATTAAAAAACTATAGATTAAAAATATTAGAGATTGAAAAAATTAAAGATTAAAAAACCAGCAGATTGAAAAAATTGAAAATTAAAAAAAAACAATATATAATAACAAAAACAACATTTATAAAGATTAAAGAAAAAGATTACAAGAATTAAAAAAAAATATTGTTATGAAATGCAAATTTTCATAGAAAATAAAATGTGGTTTTTCCATAAGCAACTGAAAAAAATTGATTTATGTATATACCGTTCAAGTGCAATAACAAGATTGCGAACCCGATTCCATTAAATAAAATGTGCAGAAGTAATAAAACTGAAAGTTCCACTTGATGAATCGATATGAAAAATTGAACTTTCCCCCCATTTCAAAAAAATAAAAAAAAAAAGAAAAACATTTTTCCCAATTCTGGTTGAGCAATAAAATACTAATCATTTGAAATAGTGAATGTGGATTAAAAACCCCCCCAAAAAAAACAATAAAAAATTCTATATTTGAATCGACAGAAAGTTTAATCTTTATGGAACGGATTTCTGCATCGTTATTCAAAACAATTTACATGAACATTGGTAAGCTGCGAATTATATTGTCTATATAAACTAATACCAAACACTAATTCTATTTTCTCTGTTCATTTTAATCGTTCCCTAACAATTTGATTCATTCAATTTTAATTTAAAATCATCTCAACGATTAACTAACTCGGACGTATGTGTGATTCATTTCCAATGCCAACAATCTTTTTTTTGTTTTCAGGAAGTTTAGTTTTTTCTTTCTTTTTAAAAAAGTTTTCAGAAAGTTTATATATAGAAATGAAAAAATTATTTTCGTAAATAAATTTTATATTTGATATAAAATAAAAAAAAAAATATTCTCCAACTTTGATAAATCAATTTTTCTATCCATAATTTTTTTCTCCATTTTCGGAAAAAAAATTGATTAAAAATAGACGATGATAATAAAGAAACAACTTTTATAATATATATAGAAGCCATTGTAAAGCAAAAAGTTTTCATGACAAGCTTTTTTTACCCCAAATATTAATTATTTTCTATTTTTACTTCATTAATAAAAGATGAAGGGATGCTGGAAAAATTTTATCAGAAATTTAAAAAAAAATTTCTTCCACACAATTTGAAAATATAATATCAAATTAAAAATTAATTTATACAGAAATATACTATATATATATATATATATTATTATATTATGTACAATAATAATAGTAATAATAATAATAATAATTATTATTATTATTATTATTATTATTATTATTTTTTTATATAAATATCTTATTTATTTATAAATAAATATTTATATTTATATTTTTATTATATTTTTTATATTTTTAATTATATTTAATAAATATTTATAAATTTATATAAATATTTATATAAATACTTTAAAATTTAAATCGAATTAATAAAAATAAGTTGATAAATAAAATAAATAAATAAAATATTTAAGTTTTTTCCAACTAATTATAATACTTTTAATTGAAAATAAAAATCAGTGCAATTGAAAATTGGGTCTTCCGTTCAGTTTTCTTAAATTTTCAAATTATGGAGAGATAACATCTCGATTTTTGATTTCTGGTTATAAATTATTTTTCCCCCCTATATGTGTGTATGAAAATAACAATCATCTCGGAATCTATTTAAGTTTCCCTCCTGTGTCATAAGGTGGTCTCTGAATGGTCATAAAAAGCATTGATTTGTACTCTAATGCATTTTGTGAAAATAGCAGAAAATATTCAATGGGATATTTTTACCACAATGTTTTCTATTTTTAATGGACAACATTTCTTTCCCTCTCGGGTCACTTTGTATATATACGATAATTAAGTTACTGTGTCAATTTAATTGTTCCTAATGTTCAAGAAATTAATTATTTCTTTATTGACTTAGTTAATGATCAGTAAATACAAGATAATATTTAAAATCTTGAACTTTAGTAGTTAAAATATTCATAATACTTATAATATAATTATAAAAATAATATAATATAATTATAAAAATGATAAAAAATATAAAAATTATAACAATTCGTAATAATTAAAATTTAAATTATAATTTAACAATTTAATTCATAATAATATTAAAATAATTGTAATGATTTATAATAATTATAATGAATATAATAATTTATAATAATCATAATGAATATTGTTAATGATTATTTCACAATTATTAATTATTAACCATTTTTTATTTAAAATTTTATGGCTAACAACTATTTACTAATAATTAATTAAACTATTATGACTACTAATAATTATAATTTTTATTATGATTAGTAATAATTATAATATTTATTATTATTAATTATAAGTAATTAATAATTATAATTCTGTAATAATTATGATTATAATTATCATAATTAATAATTATTATGGCAATTAATATATTAATAACCCTAATAATTATTAGTATATAACTCTAAAATATTTATTAGTAATTACAATTTTTTAAAACAATTTTTATAAATATAATTATTAATTATAATTATAATATTAAATAATTATAATAATAAGTTATAATATTAATTATATGTAATAATTTTTTTTAAATTGTTAATAGTTAATAATTATGTTTGCTATTTACGATTATTAATAACCTGGTAAATATTTTTAAATAAAAATAGAAAATTAAAGGAAGGGTAAGATTATAGAAATTCGAAACTTTTTCTTCTCCTGTACAGTTTTCAACAAACTTAATAAACATGAATAAAAGTCATCTTAACACATGCATTATTTTCTATTTTGGAAAAACTTGATTTCGTACATGAATAAAACATTTTATTCACAAATCCTTTAAAACGTATGTAGATTTAAAATAACAAAAATTTAATAGAAAACTCATTTTAGCTCTTTGAAACAATATTTATATTTATTTTAGGAAACAGAATTTTTTTTATGTTAAAATCACTTCTTATTTATTACTTCTTTATTATTTATCAAATATTTATTATTTATTTACTTATTTATTAATTATTAATCAACTGCTTATTATTTATCAACTACACCAAGAAAAAAGATACCTTTGACTCATTGTCAGAGCCAACTAGACTTTTTATTTGATTCAAAAAAATTTTATTTGATATAAATATAATTTTATTTGGTTCAAATATAAGTTTTATTTATTCCTTAATAAAATTTTTATTCAAAACAAATAACCTAGTTGTCTCTGAGACAAATATATCTTTATTTAACTCAAATAAATTATATTTGATTTAAATAAAATTTTTTCTCTGGGTTTTTTTATTACTTGTTAACTATTTAATTATTTATTTATTGCCTATTATTTGTAATTTATTAACTATTATTTTAATAATTTGTTTAAATATTGTTTAAATGAAATAAATAATTTATTATGTTAATTTATAAGTTTAATAATAATAATAATATTAATAAATTAATTAATTAATAATAACTGAAGTTAATTTATTTGAATAATCTTTTGTTGTAAATAAATAAATAAATAAATAAATATTTATTATAAGTTAATTAATATTAATTATTTATCATTTGTTAACTTTTTATTATTTATTGGTTATCAATTATTTAAGAACATTAAAAACATTATACGATCAGAAGAAAGCACTTGAAAGAATTAATGAACAGTAAAAAAATCAATTGTTAAAAAAAACAATGAAAAGTTAACACTTAAAAGAACAAAACAAAACCAATTATTAAAAAGACAAAAAGAGTACCTAATAAATTAAATAGGTACAAATTTTTGAAGAAAAGAATTTATTCTCCTTTTTAAAAAAAAAAGAGTTCCAATTAGTGTGAAAACACCCTCCATTAATTAAAAATAAATGAATATCGAATTGAATAAAATATTGATAATTTAATTAATCTACTATATTTTTGACTTTTAAACTAAAACATACCAATATCAATTCAATTGTAATTAAATATCTCGTCATTTGATGATAAAAAAAGGAAATAATAAATATATATTTAAATGTAGAATATCAAAAGCAATGCTTAATAATCAGTGAGAGCAATATATTGAACAAATAATATATATATATATGTCACTTGATTAATCAAGCGTGACTTGTTTCCTATTATATTACACAGTTAAAGATAGATAATGCTGTCCTATTTGAAAAGAAGAGTACATGCACGTTTCAGCAAGTGAAAAATTTTTCCAGCACAAAAAAGGAATCTTTTATTGTTCACGTCCTCGTGAAAAAAAACAGTACCTACTCTACTATCATGATTAATGATTAAATTCAGTGCAAGCTCGTCAAATAACTCACAATGTTTTTCTTTTCATTTCATTTTTTTTTCTTTTGCTTTCATTTTTTGCTATACGCTCCTTAGCAAAGGTGCGAATGATATAATTGTATTCGAAATCTCTTCTTCAAAGAAGGAAATAAATAAACTAAATAAATAAATAAATAAACTAAATAAATAAATAAATAAATAAACTAAATAAATCACAAACTAAATAATAACTAATAAACTAAATAAAAACAAACAAAAATCACTAAACTAAATAAACTAAATAAATAAAATAAATACAATAAAGAAATATAATAAATAAATAAATGCAATAAATAAATATTCATAATAATAGTAGCAGTAATAATAATAATAATTATTATTTTGAAAATAATAATATAATGTTAATAATTTAAGGAAAGCTTCAAAGAAAAATTGGATAACTTCTTCCACCTTTGATAATAATGTTAATAATTTTAATTCTTTAATTAAAACAATTTTAAATAATTTTTATTATTAATAATTAAAATTATTAGTGATAATTTACAATTAACGTTTTTTATTATTAAATAATTAATAATTCATTGATAATTATAATTATTAATAATAAGTGTGACACGTAGCGAAGAAAAGGAACTAAGAAGCAAAATTTTATAGGTTATGTTTGTTATCTTCTTCTTCTTCTTAAATGACTTGAGGCTTAGCCAACTGTAAGAACAAACACTTAGAAGAATAAGAATTAAGAATAAAAAATGTCCATGAAATTGGTTAATGTGAACAAAAAAAAAAAAAAAAAAAAAAATGGCGTCAAACGCAATTCGGTAAACTATATAAATCTATGGCGGTTGATGAACACGTGTTGGGAGGTAAAGATGTGAATTAAATATTTATACTATTGCAAATATGAGTTTAAGTTTTTTGAGTTTTTTTTTTTTTTTAAAAAAAGTCAGTTTAGAATCATTTCCTCCGAATACTTCAAGTTAGACACTTTAAAAATACAAATAAGTCAAAATTAGAGAACTATAGACATTGTGAGGTAAATCATCACTAAAATTGATGCTTGAGAACTGTACTTGGGAACTGTCAAAACCGAACTCCTTATGTTTGTTATGTTTTAGGTGAAATTGCATAAATTGGGTTAACTTTTACTTCAAACTAATTATGATGAAACTTGTGTTACATTTGAAATATTCATTAAAAATTACTTTTCACTTCACAAAATTACAAAAAAAAAACAGTTTTCAAGGTAAAAAGATAACAAACATAACCTATAAAATTTTGCCCCTCAGATCCCATTATTTAGTCAATTTACTTTGAATTTTTTTTATCTTTGAA